AAAAATTAGCCAGGCGTGGTGGTGTGCACCTGTAGTTCCAGGTTCTTGGAAGGCTGAGGTGGAAGGATCACCTGAGACCAGCAGGTCGAAACTACAGTGGCCATAAGTGTGCCATTGCACTCCAGCCTGGGCAACAGAGTGAGACTCTGACTCAAAAAAAAAAAAAAAAGAGAGCGAGACAAGCAAGTGACCTATGACAGTCCTGTAGGGTATATAGAGGCCAATTCACGGAGGTTCTCAGTCATCGACTTCCCAGGTATGTGTACCACATGCACCTTTAAAAAAATGTAACTCTTGAGCATTTACCACTAGAGGATGTCTTTCTTCCCTCTCACATTCAAAACAATATCTTTTTCCACAAGACTGCATGGTCTAGACGATTCAAATAGACAATCATTAGCAGGAGCAAAAGGAAAAGAGCATTGGTGTCGGGGGTGAGGAGATAAAAGAATATGATGATTTGGAATTATGCAAATTGCACATGTCCACAACTTAACGTTCATTAAAGGCACTGCAATCAGTTAATCTTCAGTTTCAGGAAATTTATGTCTTTTATAATTATCCTCCTCCCAGGTAGCATTTAATTATCTACACAAGTCAGTGCATAGCAGGGGTCTTACCAATTCCTCATTCTACCTCCTGCTCCTGCAGGGTGGTAAGTACCCACCATGGGAGGGAAAGTGGAGTGTCTCCAAGGAAAAAGACTTGATAAGCTCAAATGCTAGCAAAACTGTCTATCACGCCACCAATGAGCTGACCAAACACAACTTCGAATTTAAAACATGCAGTAGGGAAGATTCACAAAAATTAATCTTCCCAAAAGTGATGATTGCATTTTCAAAAGCATTGTTTTCAAAGCCCCTCAAAGCCCGAAGCCTCATTCCAGCCCATCTCTGGGGAAAGAGGCCCTGGATTCGTGACTGGAGGAAGGGCTCTCAAGCTCTGCCTCTTCTCTCACGCCCTTCCTCCCCACCCCTGCCCTGCCTCCCAGCCTTGTCCCAGCCTCATTTTCTGATTTGGGCACAGATTCCATTGGGATTATCTGACTTCTCCTTTCTCCATTTGCTTTGAGTTTGACGATTCTTTTAAAAGACCTAACTAGATTCATGGGTTTCAAACTGAGTAGAGTTACAACAGGTTGTCAGAGTTTCTTCATTAATTTAATAGACTAGTACTTCTTTAATCTTATGTATTTTGAGATGGCAAATACAAATAGAACCATCCTGTACCAAAACAGTAGAGACAAGATGGGAAGAGGATGAGGAGAAAAGTTAGACACTGTAAGAACTTATGCAGCTTGGCAGTGGGGAGGGAGAGGGAGCAGAAGGGGTGCAGAGTGGCCTTGGGGAGAATGGAAAGGGAGAGATAGCAGGCCAAAGACACTGGCGTGAGTCACACCAAGCTGGGCTCCAACTCTACACTTCCATTTGCTAGCTACATGGCCTTGGGCAATATATTTAATGATCTCTAGCCTCAGTTTTCTCATCTGTAATCTAGGGACAGAAATAATCTACTGCATAAAGTTGTAGTGATGATTAAATGAAATAATTTCTATATCAAGCCAAGTACATAGTGGGCACTGAACAGATGGCATCTCTTATTACCATTGTGGTGGGAAGCCCCCAAGAAACTCTCAATGATCCTTGTCTCTTGATATTCACTCTCTGGCATGGTACTCTCCCGCAATGAATTGGTACTGACACATGTGGCCAATAGAAGATTACAGAAGTGACAGTGTGTGAGGCTCAGAGGCTTCTCAAGCAAGGTCACAAAAGGGTTAGAAGTTTCTGCGTTGGTGTCTTGGATCCCTTGCTCTGGAGGAAACCAACCATCTTGTCATCAGGACTCTCAAGCAACTGCATAGAGAAGCCTACATGGAGAGGTGGAAACTTTCCAGACCTTCGAGGTAACCATCTTGGGAGCAGATCCTCTGGTTTCACACAATCAAGATTTCAGTTGATGGTAGCCTCAGCTAATATCTAATTGCAATTTTCTGAGAGACTCTAGGCCAGGACCAATCAACCAAGTCACTTCCACGTTCCTGACCCAAAGCATCTGTGAGATATAAAAAGTGACTGTTGTTTTTATACCACTAAGTTTTGAGGTGATTTGTTATGCAGCAATAGATAACTAATACAGGAGGATGATATTGATTATCAAATGCTACATAACTATATTCTAAAACTTAGTGACTCAAAAATTTTTTTAAAAAATTAGGCCAGGCATGGTAGCTCATGTCTGTAATCCCAGAACTTTGGGAAGCCAAGGCAAGAGGATCCCTTTAACCCAGGAGTTCAAGAATAGCCTAGGCAGCATAACAAGATCCCATCTCCCAAAAAAAAAAAAAAAAAAAAAAATTAGCCTCTACCAAAAAAAAAAAATCAATATGGTGGTGCATGCTTGTAGTCCCAGCTACTTGGGAGGCTGAGGTGAGAGGATGTCCTGAGTCCAGGAGTTTGAGGCTGCAGTGAACTGTAATTATGCCACTGCACTCCAGCCTTGGCAACAGAGAGACCCTGACTCAAAAACCAAAAAAACAAAAGTCATTTATTATTTATTGTGGTTTCTGTGGGTGAAAATGTTATTTAAGAAATAGGGATAGCTTAATTCTGGGGTGTTAGTTGAAGTAGCTTGACAACTGGGGGCTGGCATCATGTGAGGGTTCATTTATTCCTATGTCTAGAAATTGGTATTGGTTGTCAGGTGAAGGTCTAGCTGAGGTTGTTGGCTGGTACATCCATTGTTATGGACTGAGTAGAGTCCCCTCCAAATTCGTATGTGGAAACTTTAACCTCCAGTGCCCAGAATGTGACTATATTTGGAGATAGGACCTTTCAGGGGATAATTGAGTTAAAATGAGGCGATTAGTCTCATTATAGGGTTAGGTCCTAATCCAATCTGACTGGTATCCTTCTAAGAAGAGGAGACGGGGACACATAAGAGACACCAAGATGGACATAAACAGAGAAGAGGCCAAGTGGGGACACAGTGAGAAGGCAACCATATAAAAGCCATGGAGAGAGGTCTCAGAAGGAACCAAACCTGCCAACACCTTGATTTTGGGCTTCCAGCTCCAAAACAGTGAGAAATACATTTCCGTTATTTAAGCCACCTAGTCCATGCTATTTTGTTATTGCAGTGCAAGCACATTAATACACTCATGCATGTCTTTTCCATGTGGCCTGAGTTTCCTTACAACATAGTAAGTATGTTCTAAAGGCAACAGTGGGAGGAGGGGGCAGGAGCATGGGGAGAGAGAGAGAGAAGCTGTGCCATTTTGTGATCTAGTTTCAGAAATCATATAGCATCACTTCTGACATATCCTATTTATTAGAAGTTAGTCACTAAGTTATGCCCATATTCAAGGGAAAGGGAACTAGACTCTACCTTTTGAAGGAAATATAGTGAAATCATTTGCAGACATATTTAAAAACCATCCCAATCTTTACCTTTTAAGATGCTGGCATTTCAGCCAGGTGCAGACATGCCCCCGAGTAACTTGGATTGGGAATGTGAATTTAGAACTCAGGCTACAGATGTGGATTTGGAAGTCATCTACATGGAGAAATCAAAAGGGAATGTGACTCCAGAGAGAGGAGAGGGCTCAGCCTCGAGGAATGCCAAACCCAACTTAGTGCTGCATAAATATTGATTAACTGAAAGTATTGGGCAGAACCTCAAAAAGTCAACTACCCAGCTCACACTGGGTATTTAATAAAATGGAAAGTACCAGCTTAGTCCATTAAATCTTCCTATTAAAACTTTCTACCAGCAAATAAGGTACTACCTAATGTTCCACAGCCAGAATAGTTTTCAAAAACATAATGGACTCATAAGATGAAACACAATCATTGTCTGCAAGCAGGGTTCTAGGGGACCCATAGGCTTTTGTGACTCTGTTGTTAGGTACATCCACATTTAGCATTATTATGTTTTCTTGGTGAGTTGACCATTCTATTATTACACAATTATCCCTTTTTATTACTGGTAATGTTCCTTGCTCTTGATTCTACTCTGTCTGAAATTAATATAGCAACTCCAGCCTTTCCATTATTATCATTATAAAAGTCACTATTCAGCCTGTGCACTCATCTGCAATTAGAATTTCTTGGTTAGAGAGTTTTGACTGCATGTTGTTAGTCTTTTGATTGTTTTGAAAACTGCCCTGCATAAATTTACTGACTTACTACCTCAACACTTGGGCACTATCACTTAAAATAATTATAAATTAAAGATAGAGCTTTCCCAATTTGATGGGCAGAAATATTTTCTCATAACTCTATGGGAGTGGAGATAGTCGTGGTAGGTGCACCTCTAAGCCACTTAAATTCTCATTTATCCTAGAAAAAAGTCAAGAGTTCTAAAATTCATAAACCATAGATCAAGAAACAGGGGTATATGTAAATCCTGAGAGTCGGCGGTGAATACCAGATGCGACAACCGTAAGAGCTGGGAGTAGTTGTTCTTGAGGAACTGGAAATACTGGGTGGGGCAGAGTAGTAGTGGGCAATTGGAGTGGAGTAGCAGAGGAACGGCGCTTGTGTATTTAAATTTCCTCTAGCATTATATTTTTTTAAAAGCATGTAAACGTATTAATTATTTTGACTTTATACATGACATGTGGTTGTTGGTTTAACTTGTATTTCAGTGTATTATCATGACTCCCATAATTGTGTAACCCTACCACCAAGAAAATCTCAGCCTCTCCGGATGCAAACTACAACTCCCAGGATTCAGCGGGCTGAATGAGTGCCCTGTCCTCAGACACAAACTACAATTCCCAGGATTCCGCGAGCTAAGGAGGTGGTTCTGACGGGGGCCCAGCGACTGAGCCCGCAGGACTGCGCACGCGCACAGGCTCCGAGCCGGGCTCGCCGGCCTGTCAGGCTCCAGGCGTGCACCTGCGAGCCCGGCGGCAGTGGCAGCGGACCCGGCGGTGCGGTTGTGCCTGGCTGCCTGGGTTTCTTGGGCTAGGAACTGGCGCCGAGGGGGCGGCGGAGGAGGTGGCTTCAGCTCCACTGAGCCCGGGCTTCAGGTGGGACGCACGCTTGGGGGTGAGCGGACTCTGCCTGGGGTTTGGAGCGCAGGGATCGACATCCCCGCCCCTCCTTCCCTGGAGGGGAGGGCTCAGCGCTAGGTCCTGGGTGTGATTTTAGAAGGCCTTCAGTAGCCGAGAGAGTTTGCAGAACGGAGAAGTGACGTTGAGGCGCGCGGGAGATGGGCGGAGTAGGGGTGCATCCTAAGGATCGAGGTGCCAGGGCCCGGGAGGCGCCCTCGGACGTGCCCGCTGAAGCTCTTAGCTCAGGACAGGACCTGGCAGCGGGTCCCCACACCCCTATGCTGGGAGAGGTGATGGATGGTGCGCATTTGGCGCAGGGGGCGCCAAATGGGCCAGGCGAGGTTCGCGGAGGGGTCCTGGGCTGCCCGGGCTGCCTTTGAAGGGCAGGCCTGCCCTGATCGCTAGGTTCCTGGAACTCAGTAGGGCACACCGTGTGTCCAATGGTAAGAGCCTGCCACGACCAGGTTGACTCAGTGCCCAGGTAGCCTCTGAAGGAGGAAACCAATGGACCTCTGACCCCATGCATGTACGTGGGAAGCTGTCTCCCGCTCACTGATGGGAGTCTTCTGCTAAAGTATGGGACCCTCAGGCCAGAGCCCTGCTGAGCTGCCAGTATCCACCATACGACCCTCAGAGCCTGCTTTTGGGAGAAACAAGGTGTGGCATGGGAAGGGATGACTTCAGAGATATGGGACAAGCTTGGTAGGACTTACTGGTTAAAAGCACAGAGGAGAGTTTGTTCATTCACCAGGTGTTTACTGTTAAATGTGCCTGAGGTCCAAATCTTGGCTCTCCATTACCAGCTAGGTGGCCTTGAGCAAACCACTCATCCTCTCTGGGCCTCTGTTTCTTTCTCTGTGATCTGGGAATGAAATCACAGGGTTGCTGTGAGGATTAAATCAAATAACGCCAGGCAAGTCCTCAGTCTGGTGTCTGGAATACAATCAGTGTGCAGCACATATCAGCAGTAGTGGTTGCTCGGGACAGAAAGTGTTAGAGGTGAGTTTGGAACCCAGGTTCATCTTTATTGGAACCAGCTGCCCCATCTTTGGTATTCATGGATCTTGATCCATGAACTTGATCAAGCTACTCCTTTCACATTATAGTTGAGGTGTCTGAGTCCCAGGTGATGGCAGAGCTAGGAAAGAGCAGAGAGGGGGACAGGGTGCTGGTGGTTGGGCTCATTGTGGCCATGTGAGCATGCTGGTTGGCAAGTTCTTGCTCTGAGCCTTGCTTTAGAAAGTATTTAGTAGCAAACAAAGCCTTCTAGTGAATGTTGAACTAACCAGAAGATTAAATTACCAAATGTCTCATTCCCCAAGAGTCCTTGTGAATCTCAGCTTGGTTGACAGTGGGATGCTTTCCCCAGCACCTGCCAGTCATGTGATTCCCAGGGTTTCTTAAATTGGATGAAGTAATGAATGTGAAAGGCAGAATCCACAAATTTCATCATGGGCTTTGAAGTCAGACTTGGGTTCAAATCCCAGTCCCACCAATTAATAGCTGTGTGACGTGGGTCAATTCCTTAAATGTGAAATGTAATTAATAATAACTACTTTAGGTTTGTAGTAGGGAACAACTGAGATAATGCACGTAAAGTACTTAGCATTGTGCCTGGCATAGAGTAAGCGCCGGTGAATAGGAGTTTGTCTTATCATTATTACGATTGTAATATTATTAGTAATAATAATAATATAAAAATGATTGTCAGCCACAGTGCTTTCCTTGTATTGTCTCTTTGAATTCACAAAACCTCCCTGTGAGGTAGGCATAATTGTGTCTGTTTTTCAGGCCACGAAATGGAAGTTTGGAGGGTTAAGAATTGGCCTAGAGTCACAAAGCTGCTAAGTGACAGGGTCGGGAACTCATGTCCCAGCATCTCCAGAACTGATTGTATTTAATTCTGCTACTCTGCTGCCTGTGCTCTTTGCCATTCTTGAAGCCCAGTTATGACCTAGGCCAGCCCCCCTTGTTGCAGCAGGAGGTCTTCTCGCACCACTTGGTCAAGAGGCAGGACCTGCAGCCTGGCTGTGTGTTGCCTCGCTGTGTCTGGTGTTGGATGAATGGTGAAGCTGGAGGGGGCATCTCCTGGGTGAGCTCAGGGGAACAGGCAGCCCAAGCCAGCCCTGTGGCCTCTTTAGGCTCTCATCGCTGGACCACAGGGCTGAGTGAGGGTGCAGATTGGCTGGGACCTGGGAAGCTTGGTTATGAGAAGCAGTGCCCTCGTTTAAGCTGCTGGAAAGAGTTCCGGAGCTGTGTACTTCTCTGGGTCCGATCTCTTCTTTGGAGAGGAGCACAGCCCTCGCTGTGAATGTGAGGATGAGCCCTGGACTGAGAGCCAGCATGCTGCCATTTTAATTCTGGCTGCCCATGAGAGCTCCCACTGCCTCTCGAGACTTCTTTTATAAAATAAAGAGTTCAAGGAAGTCATTTCTAAGGGCTCTTTCAGCTCTAAAAGGCAGTAGTTTTGTGATTCTAAATTGATGACTTAAGCCTCTCAGCACAGCACTGGGGCAGGTGGGATAATTATCACCCCAGTTTGCTACCCAGACTCTCCTTGGGGTGAGAGAATGGCCCCAGCCCCCTAAGCCACCTGTCACAGCCGGGTACTGTCTCTGCCTGGCTGAGGCAGGAGAAATTACAACAAGGAGCCTTGGGTTGCTAAGTTACAGCTGAGGGCGTGTGGGTCTGTGTTTCCAGAGCCACTCACACCTGCTTTGTCCTTAACTGATTAAAAACTCACAGCTCTAAAATCTAACTTGCTAACTTGCTTCTTTGCCACCAATTGTTCCTCCAAGTCTGATGACTCATGAGCACAGTACTTAAGAATAAGACCCTTGGAGCCAGAAGCAGATTCAAATCCTGATGCCCCTGCTTGCGCTGTAAGACCTTAAGCGCAGTACTTATCCTCCTAAGCTTTGGTTTTAGAAAATGAGGATAATACTAGTATTTGTATGGGACGGCTTTTGTAAGGCTCAAATGAAATAGGTCAGGAAAAGGGCTCAGGATAGTGCCTGGCACATAGTAGGTACTCAGTAAAGTAAGATGGTGGGACCATTCACCTCCATCCCCTGTCCCAGAGGCCAACATCCCTATTTCCTTAGCTAGCTTGGACAGGGATCAGTCCTTTCATTTTGTCTGGCTTCCCACGTCCTCATGGGTACATACTCCAGCCCCAGCACTTAAAAGGGAATCAGATCTTTCACTCTGCCAGTGGTGACTGCCATTGATACAGTGTTATGCTAAGTCTGTCTCTTCTTTTCCCTCCATTTTGAAAAGCTTAACAGAGGTCCCCTTCCTTGCCATGTAGTGGGTACTCAGCCCTGAGCCAAGCCTCAGGAAGGGGTTGGAAACCCTGGCCTACTGTATTGCCACTAGTATTGCTGTTACCAATGCAGGCCCCTGTGTCAGGTTATTTTAGAGACTTTCAGTGATGAAATACACCCAAACTTTACCTGTACGGTGACCACTTATCTACCTAATCCTGGATTATACCCCACATCTTTAAAATAAAAGTAAATAATAAAAAAAGAAACATATCCAGGGGACCTTTGACAGTGGAAGTTTGTGGCAGGAATCGAGGTGCATCCTGGGATGGCAGCAGGAGTTGCCATGGGTTGTGCTGGGTCCTGGAGCTTCCCAGAGGGTTGCAGAAAAGCACTATGAGGATCTAGAGAAGTTATCCAGCCTTACTCTTTTTGGGGACCTCTTTTCTCAGGGGACCTATCTTCCCTCTGCTGACCTGCAGGTCTGGGCATCTCTCAGTGTCCCCCACTGGTGTCTGCTTTACACTCTGGCATTTAGCTGTGGCAGGAGACCTGAGCTAGTATCTTGCCACCTCCACACCACAGTGTTGCAGTTTCTGTGGGAAGGAGTGGGTTGGGACATCTTTTCTCAAGGGGGCTTCGAGTATGGCAGGCTTTTTAGTATGCCCTAAAATTTAGGCTGCACATCGTTTTAGCAAAGGCAGGGAACAGAATTTTTTAGTCATTATTGGTGGTTGGTGGGGGAAGAGGGTTATCTTCAGTTGAATCCCTTCTTTACCCTGGGCTGGACAGAAATGCTTTGCTGGGTATTTAAAAACAAAAACTCAAAAAAACCCCAAGCAAACAAAAAATCCTCAGAGCAGTTCCTTTTGAAATTGAGCATATGTAACAATCATCTGGGAGCTTGGTTAAAACACAGCTTCCTGGGTCCTACTCTCACAGAGGTTGTGGTTCGGCAGGTCTGGAGGGGGGCCCAGGATTGCATTTCTCACATTCCAGGTGATACTGCCTATGCGAGTCCATGGAACACACTGTGATCTGCTTTGGAGGACCCCACGACGTGCTCCACCCCACTCCCCCTGTGGAGTAGCCCTCACAGGGCATTCTCGTTTTGCTGGGCCACTTCCAGGCGAGGGCTCGCTGCCCACAAAGTAGCTGATCCCTCAGGTTCACACAGCTCTGTCCTGTGGAGAAGTCCTCCTCCTGCCCACCACCCAGAACCCTGCCTCCCTGTGACTTCTTTCTGCAGTGCTTACATCAGGACTCCAGAGCAGCCCACACAGCTGTGCTGGGCAAGGACAGAATGGGAATCAAGTATATACCCACTATCCTCGCCTGTGCCTGGGGCCCAGGTTACATGTGTCACCACCATGCACGTGTGTGCAGTCAGGCAGAATGGGTTGCATCCCACCCCTCCGCAGCCACCTCTCACTAGCTGCACTACTCCTCAGTGTTTGAAGAATGCCATGGACCCAGGGGCTTCTTTTCAGAGCCATTTTCCTCTCCTTCAAGCATCCTGCACAGGATAAGGTTTTTGATCCTTCTTCATCCTGGCTGCCTTAAAATGAGTATCTCAGAAAGACTCACATAAAGTAGGGTCATATTCATGATTAAGTGTATAGACTCTTGATTCCTAACAAAAATTCTTAACCTGAATCTAATTGTGAGGAAATATTAGGCAAGCTCACATTGAGAAACATGCTAGAAAAT